TGCCTGGATTTCTATATACTTTCCTCTTAGAACTGCTTTCTCTGTGTCCCACAGAAGTTGGGGCTTTGAATTGTTGTTGCCATTTGTTTCCATATATTGCTTCATCTCTATTTTAATTTGGTCATTGATCCATTGATTATTTAGGAGCATGTTGTTAAGGGTCCATGTGTTTGTGAGTCTTTTTGTTTTCTTTGTAAAATTTATTTCTAGTTTTATAACTTTGTGGTCTGAGAAGCTGGTTGGTAAGAATTTCAATCTTTTGGAATTTACTGAGACTCTTTTTGTGGCCTAGTATGTGGTCTATTCTGGAGTATGTTCCATGTGCACTTGAGAAGAATGTGTATCCTGCTGCTTTTGGGTGTAGAGTTCTATAGATATCTGTTAGGTCTGTTTGTTCTAGTGTGTTGTTCAGTGCCTCTGTGTCCTTACTAACTTTCTGTCTGGTGGATCTGTCCTTTGGAGTGAGTGGTGTGTTGAAATCTCCTAAAATGAATGCATTGCATTCTATTTTCTCCTTTAATTATGTTAGTATTTGTTTCACATATGCTGGTGCTCCTGTATTGGGTGTATATATATTTATGATGGTTACATCCTCTTGTTGGACTGACTCCTTTATCATTATGTAATGTCCTTCTTTGTCTCTTGTTACTTTCTTTGTTTTGAAGCCAATTTTGTCTGATACTAATACTGCAAAACCTAATTTTTTCTCTTGGTTGTTTGCATGATATCTTTTTTTCCCTTGACTTTTAGTCTGTGCATGTCTTTGGGTTTGACGTGAGTCTCTTGTAAGCAGCATATAGATAGGTCCTGCTTTTTTATCCATTCTATTACTCTGTCTTTTGATTGGTGCATTCAGTCCATTTACATCAGGGTGATTATTGAAAGATATGTACTTATTGCCATTGCAGGCTTTAGATTCGTGGTTACCAAAGGTTCAAGGTTAGCTTCTTTAGTATCTAACTCTCTAACTTTACTATCTAACCATCTAACTATCTAACTGTCTACCTTCTTATTCCTTCCTCCTCCATTCTTTATATGTTAGGTGTTTTATTTTGTGCTTTTTGTGTTTCCTTTGATTGATTTTGTGGGTAGTTGATTTTATTTTTTGCCTTTAGTTAGTATTTGGTTGGTCTGCTTTCTTTGCTGTGATTTTATTTTCTCTGGTGATACCAATTTAACCTTAGGTGTGCTTCTATCTAGAGAGCAGTCCCTCTAAAATACCCTGTAGAGGTGGTTTGTGGGAGACAAATTCCCTCAACTTTTGCTTGTCTGGGAATTGTTTAATCCCTCCTTCATATTTAAATGATAATCGTGCTGGATACAGTATTCTTGGTTCAATGCCCTTTTGTTTCATTGCATTAAATATATCATGCCATTCTCTTCTGGCCTGTAAGGTTTCTGTTGAGAAGTCTGATGATAGCCTGATGGGTTTTCCTTTGTAGGTGACCTTTTTTCTCTCTCTGGTTGCCTTTAATACTCTGTCCTTTTTCTTGATATTTGCCATTTTAATTATTATGAGTCTTGGTGTTGTCCTTCTTGGGTCCCTTCTGTTGGGAGTTCTATGTGCTTCCATCATCTGAGTGACTATTTCCTACCCCTGTTTGGGGAAGTTTTCTGCAATTATTTCTGCAAGTACACTTTCTATCCCTTTTTATCTCTCTTCTTCTTCTGGTACCCCTATAATGTGGATATTGTTATGTTTGGATTGGTCACACAGTTCTCTTAATATTCTTTCATTCCTGGAGATCCTTTTATCTCTCTCTGCATCAGCTTCTCTGTGTTCCTGTTCTCCAATTTCTATTCCATTAATGGGCTCTTGCATCTTGTCCATTCTGCTTTTAAGTCCTTCCATAGGTTGTTTTATTTCTGTAGTCTCCTTCCCAAATTTATCTGTTAGCTCTTGCATTTTTCTCTGCAGCTCCATCAGCATGGTTATGACCTTTATTTTGAATTATTTTTCAGGAAGATTGGTTAAGTCTATCTCCCCTGTTTCCCTCTCAGAGGATGTCTGGGTTACTCTGGTCTGTATCAAATTCTTCTGCCTTTTCATGGCGATAGAGGTAGTCGTGGGCAGTTGGTACGTGTGTCAGTTGGAAGAGCAAAGTCCCTTCCTGCTTGCCTGTCGCCTTTCTCTCCTGCGAGAATGGCAACCCCTAGCGGATTGTTCTGGGCAGCTGCACCCAAGCGGGGTCTCTGATTCTGGCCTGGGTGACTGCAGAGTAGGCTCTGTGTGGCTGCTGTGGGCATGGCCAATCTCAGACTTTTGCTCTGATATGGTGGGGCTATGCCAGAGGGGGAACAGATGGGAGGCTGTTTATCACTGTGAGGGGTCTCAGAGCTGTGCCCAGGGGTTTAGAGTGCCCGGAGTTCCCCGGGATTCCCAGATGCTGGGATGAGTGTGCCAGGACGCTTCTGTCCAGCTGTGAGGCTCCTTTCCCTTTAAGACTTTCAAAAGGCACTGGCTTTTCTTTTGTCCCAGGGGTGCTGGCTGTGGGAACCCAGTCACAGATTTTACTGTTCCGTTTCCCTAGTATCCAGCACACCATGCAGTGTGTGTCTGTGCTCCCAGTGCAGATGACTACGGCTGGATGTTCAGCAATCCTGGGCTCCCTCTCCCTCCCCACTCCAACTCCTGTCCTCCTGCTGGGGAGCTGGGGTCAGGGGGTGCACTCGGGTTCCGCTGGGCCACAGCTTGTATCTTACCCCCTTTGTGAGGTGCTGGGTTCTCGCAGGTGTAGATGTAGCCTGGCTGTTGTACTGTATCTTCTGGTCTCTCTTTTAGAGATAGTTGTATTTGTTGTGTTTTCAAAAACATATGTGGTTTTGGAGGAGATTTCTGCTGTCCTACTCAAGCCACCATCTTGGCTTCTCCTCTCCAATTTCTTTTTAAATGGCAGACTGATCATGGGCTGGGATGTCTGAGTATATATAGCAACATACTAAGGCTTGTTATGTATATAGAACCTGTAAGCTAACTAAACAGATTCCTTTCCTGCCCCTAATATGGGTCCCTCTAGATCTGGGGCTGTTTTCAGCTCCTGCATTTCCCTAGACCTATGTCAGCCAACCTCACTGGAGCAAAGGTGAAGGGAAAGGCTTTGGACCCAGTGAAATAACTTAAAATTTCTGCTTTTCATTTTTGTAGAAAAGTGCCCAGTGTATCCAACAGAGCTGGTATTTTCCCTGGACCAGTCCTCTGGGGTCATGGAACAGAGGTTTCAGGAGATGAGGAGCATCATCACTTCTGTCATTGGTGAGCTCACCATCTGGGGCAGCAGTTGCCCAGTGGCATCCAGAGTGGCTGTGGTCTCCTATGACTCCGGCACCAGCTACCTCATCTGCTGGTCCCATTACCATAGCAAGAAGCAGCTCCTCCGGTTGCTTTCCAAGGAAAAATACTGACCTCCTATGGAAGCCTGAGACATCGGTGACACGATGAGATCTGTGGCCTGGAATGTCTTCAAGCGGACACATGAGGAGCCAGTGCGAGGAGAGTCGCCGTGTTTTTCAGCAATGGGCAAACGACTCACAGGACATCAGTCATCACAGCCACCAAGGAGCTGAGCGCCCTGGGTATCAGCCCAGCAGTCTTTGCTTTTGATGACAGGTTTTTCCTTGATGAGTCTTTTCTGGTAAGAAGTTCCCTTGACAACTTCCTTATTTCCAAAATAGTGGTCCTGACAAGGTGGGATAGGTGGGCGTAGGGAGGACTTGTGGCCGCCAGGCCCCTTTTGCAGCTGCCAGGGCCTGTGAACCCCCATGTCCAGCAGCAGCAGTCACCGGCAGGAGCACACCATGCTCACTTGGCTCCTGCTGGGGGCCAGGCCTGTCCCCAGAGTCCGCACAGACCCCCAGGCATCTGCACAGCCTTCTGAGGTGAGCGAGATTGCCATGTCCACTTAAAAAGGAGACACTGAGGCCCTGAGAGCTAAGCAACTTCTCCAGGTTTGTGAAGCTACCGCACCGCTGAATCAAGATCCACACTCAGGTCTGTGCGCTGGAGAGGGCTGTGACTGTGGTGCTTCCCCTTCCAGCCTCTGCAGATCTGGCGTTTCTCACACCTGCCTGCTTGCTGTATCATTGAACAGCAGGTTCAGTGGATCTTCAGTGGGGGACCTTGAACCCCTACTCTTGGGTACAAAAATTGATGTGGTGACTGTTTTCCAGGAGAGATTCTATCCCGTTTGGATGCACAGATATGCATGGAATCTGCGCTGCCCTTGCCCTCCCCACAGAAAGGCAGAACCTCTCCATTTACCGCCCTGCTGCATTTAGATATATTCCGATTTTCCATGCAGTGCATGCTCCTACAGCCAGGTGAAGCCATCGTGGGGTCCAAGAGGTTATGAAGGCCTATTTTCACACAGACACACATATCTCCACTATGAAAAGGGAAGCCCACTGTGACATGAAGAGAATCAATGTGCTCATAACACACCCAGGAAAATTTTGAAAAATGGAAGCCACAGGGAAAGTCACAATAGGTCCTGACAAAAAGGGCTAGAGCAAGTCATAAAGTTTTTCCTGTAAAAATAATGACCTCCCAATATATGTAAATAATAAATAAATAACTTGTTATGGTGTATGTCCTCCTACTAGAATGTAAGGCATGGATTTCACTTATTTTGTCTACCACTATCCCTACCACCTAGAACAGTACCCATAACATAGTAGGCATTCACCAAGCATTTGCTGAATGAATGAATAAATGAGGAGCACATGCTTTACTCCTGTGGATGAAATTCCTTGACTTGCTAAGGCAGTGTTTAGTCTGTACGTGGGAAACCAACAAGGTCAAATACACAAAAATACCCAAAGCACCCGGTTTCATGAAAAGTGGTGAATAAGAATGTAGTAAACATTTTCTGATCATAAAGCTGCAATGATAATAAGTTTTTTCAAATTCTCACTCAGCATTACAGAAAAACAGAAGCTTTTCTATCCCTCTAATTTCTCACGGGAGAAGGAGAGAAAGCACGAGCATGTTTGTGATGGGCAGGTATCTTTCTCACCGTCTGGGAATGATGGCCACCTTGCACTGAAAAAAAAGTATCTGCCTTGCACTGGTGCCTCAGAGACTAAGTAGTTAATGACTCACTGCATGAATGAATGAATGCTATATATCACTCAATTCAGTGAATATTAAAGCAAAAAAGGAATCAAGAAACAGACAAAATCAAGCAGTGTATTACCAGGAATTTTGCATTGACTTAGTGTCTTCTGCCTTTTGAAATAGACTTTTAATTAGGATTTGTGATTGGGAAAGTCTGCTTGACATCTGAAATATGCTCCTTCTAGGAAGTATAATTGGGGTGGAAATAGCTGGGTTCACTACTTAAAGAGGTCACAGGAAACTTGTGAATGTAAAATTTCTGTAGGACCCAACTTCAGAACCTGACGTATGGTCCATAATTAGCTGCTACATAATCAGAAGCATGCAAAAATTCAGTGTAGAACTGCAGGTCTGGAAATAGTGAAATTTCAATACTTGCACCAGTGGATGACTCTGGTGGTTATCTTGTGGCAGTTTTCTCATCATAAAATAGTTTTTAAAAATATTTTTCTCATCTAACATAAAATAGTTTTCTCATTATAAAATATACCTGTTCCATGTACTTCTTTTGGTTATGTTTATGGCAGAAGGGGGAGTGTGTGTTTGTATGTGTGTGAGTGTGTATATGTCTGTGTGTGACAGAGGTACTGAATAGAGCAAAGGGCTATAATGCAGGTGATGGAGATTGGCTAGGTGTGTTGGAAACAACCCTTAGAGTGGGTGGATGCACAATGGCTCCCTGATAATGACTATTATAGTGGAACATTTCAGGTGATCCCAGTTTCTCCAAATGGTGAATATGAACCATTAGAAAGACTTCAGCTCTGTACACTTTGCTATGGTAAGAACAAAGAGAAAAGTTTATTAGGCTGAAACACTTAAATGCCTTCTGGGTGAGTTAGTCATCTGGCTTTATCAGATATTTCTATTTTTTTATTGTAGATTCTATTTTAAGTTTCCCAACTTAAATATATGGTCTTCCAATACTGTATACCAGGGTTTCAATCTCTGTAACATTTGGAGTTTTCATTGAGTATGAGATGTGGTTTAGAAGATTATCCTAGTTGCTGTGGCTTTTATTGGGGACAATTTGGTAGCTTGTATTAAAATATTGAAAGTATTTTCCAAATGAGTTTGGACAGTTCATGCAGACTTCAGATATAAATGCTGCAATATACGTATAGTCTGCTTTCAGCAAAGACCCTCCCCACTTATTTGCTGATGGCCATAGAAATATTGCAACATTGCAAATCCCTTATTAATTTTAAATAATGTGAGATTGAAGAGGTATGGATCAAATCATTAATTCTTGGTAATCAGTCACTGAATCACTTAAAAATCTCAAACAACAGCATCTTGCTGTGCAGACACTGAGCCAATAATGTGTCTCTCTGTGTGTTTTCAGATAAATGTTTCCCAAATGCTTGCATCAAAGAGATCTTTTTACCTGAAAATTCAAGCATGGATGTAGCCTTTCTCTTAGAAAATTCTCAGAGTATAGGAAGTGATGCATTTAAGGCTATGAAAACCTTGGTCAGCTCAATGCTTGACAACTTCCACACTGCTTCAGAGCCATTTATCTCAGACCATGGAGACAGGATTGCTTTAAAGAGCTATTCTCCTCGGGATAGAAAGAAGGGTGCAGCAAAAACAGACTTTGAGTTTACAACTTACGGCAGCCAAGTCCTAAAGAAGGGCCACATCCAGACTTCCCTCCAGCAGCTAGAAGGAGAAGCCACCACTGGCCATGCCCTACTGTGGACCACAGAGAATCTCTTCCCCCGAATATCCAACCTGAGGAAACACAAAGTCATCTTCGTGGTCTCTCAGCTGGAGAAAATCATGAGAGAAAGGAATTCTTAAAGAAGACAGCTCTGAAGGCCAAGTGACAAGGCTACGTCAAATTTGTGATTTCTCCTGGTTCTACACATAAGGATGATGTGGAGGCATTAGCCAGCCACCCACTTGATCACCATCTGATACAGATTGGGAGAATTCATAAACCAGATCTGGATTATACTGTAAGATTCTTAAAGCCATTTGTGTACTCAGTCAGACGTAAGTCATTATTTTGTTTTCCCTCTTGTTTTAATGAAGTAGTGCTTGTTAATAGAATTGATAACCCAACATATCTTTGTGTCTATAGCTAACCCAAGTATATTATTTAGATGGGGAGTTGGGGGCAGGGATAGGACATCTCCTGGTTATGCCCTGTTTATACATTGGTCATAATGAGTTGAGACCTTTCTCATGATAAAATGTCTCTTAACCCAAATCTGAGCTAGAAAGCGCAGAGTGACTGAAGGGTCATGAGCTACACTCGCTCAACTTAGCTTTAGCAGCTCTTAGATGGTCTCCAGGATGCACATTTAAACAAAAGTTTTTCCTGCTATGTCTGGTCTGTTTCCAACCTTAGCACACCCCAGAGGCCTATGTGAGGGTATAAAGATGGCGGCATAGCCCTGTGCTGCTTCTAAGAGTCTGAGCGCACAAATCACGCAGGAATCTTGTTGAAATGCAGGTTCTGATTCAGTATGTCTAAGGCAGAGCCTGAGATTCTGCATTTCTAACATGGTCACCAGTGATGTCCATGCTTCTGGCCCAGAATAACACTTTGTGAAGCAAGGCTCTGGACCCGTGCCTGCAAAGCACCACCCACTGCACAGGTGCTATCCGCACACTGACCTGTGAGGGGAGAAATGCAGAAATTGGGAATAAGCACCTAGAAACTTTAAAGCAATTTGACATTGCCATGGCACCCGAGTGCATGAACAGTGGGCTTGGTCTCATTGAACAAGATACAAACCAGAAGTATTAATCTGTAAAGAACTAGAAATAAAAACACCTTTATTTTCTGCCACAAGTGGTTTGAGAAACACCCTAGTGATTTTCAGCTGGGGATGATTTTGTCCCCCAGAAGATATATGGAAATGTCTGAATATATTTTTGATGGGCACAACTGACAGAAGGGCACACACGTATCTAGTGGGTAGAGGCCAGGGATGCTGCTAAAGAATTTACAGTTCAGAGATGTCCCCACAGCAAAGAATGAGCCTGCCCAAAATGTCAACAGCATTGAGATTGAGAAACCTGGCCCAGAGGATCCTGGAGAATTGGAGCTGAACTCATTCTGTCTGGGAATCTGACAGGACTATAGTCAGGTTCTGCTGGAACCAATCAGACCATCCTAGAACTCCAAAGCAGCCCTGGTATTCAAATGCCCAACACCAGCACAGGGACAATACCCCCAGAGCTCACTCTGCACTGCAGGGAGTGCCCCCTTTCTCCTGTGGCTCATGTCCGATTGCAGAACCCTGTCGTCACCCTCTGGTGTCATGTTACTTCTCTAACTGGACATGCCCACATCTTATAGAATAATGATGGGAAGAGAGCAAAGGGACATATGTAGGTCAGTAAGCTAAAATCTTTTCTGTGGTTCTCTTATATCATGTGAAAAGAAAGAAAATATGTTTCCAATTAAATGTCAATACCAGTTTTCCTATTTGAGCACTTTTCATTTTATAGTAATTGAAAAAGTTATTTTAGGCAGATTACCCTATATCACTTTCTGCATGTATAAAAAGGGAATGTATGTAAATCATACTGGTTAAGACATTCCTAAAACTTCCTATTCAAAATTTGGCTCTTGTGAGCTATTTCTTGATTCAGAGTCATTGAAATCCATCTTTTTCCATGCAATATTGTTCTTTACACCATCAAGATCAATAATGATGCAACACTTTTTAAAAGACTCTATAAAATAACTCAGAGCTGGTCTTGCTGGGCTCTTAAGTTAGGCTTTGCAGTTAGTTTTTAGAACTAGCTTACTTTCATTTCCACCTAAGCAATGTTACTAAACACATCCAAATCTCTGCCTCCCCATAACCACTTGGTTTGTATAAAATAAATGTAATAGAGACTAAAAAGACAAGAGACTCTTTTCCTAACAGTCGCGGGAATGTTTCCTAGTCTGCTGAGCCCAGTTGTGTAAGGTTTGGAGCTAGCTGTTTGCTTCCCGTGTGCACAGATGTGGTGAGCACATGGCTACTGCACCTGTCCAACAGCATTGTCATGAAACCACAGACATTCTCTGAGATATTTTCATAGAGTTTTTAATCATTCAATGGCCAAAGGCATCCTTTAGCTACAAACTATTTATTCTCCTCAGTGAGGGGAAAAAATGATATACCTCTCAATATCCCACATCTTATAGAATAACGATGGGAAGAGAGCAAAGGGGCATATTTAGGTCAGTAAGCTAAAATCTTTTCTGTGGTTCTCCTTCTAGAAATCAGTGTTACTTGGTGCAGAAGCACAGTGGTAGCATTATGTAATGAAATATTGCCTTTTCTGTGTTTGATCCATTAGTGTAAGTCTGAGTGAAAAAGCTTTATACAGTCAGAATAGATCTTCGATTATATTCCTCTGAGCAAATGGAAATCATATATCTCTGCTTCATGATTAACCCTTAAATGAACAATTTGAGGACTTCCATTTCCATAGCCTGAAATTCTTTGGTGCAAAACACTAAAATCCATTTTGAATGCTATTGCTAGTTGTTACTATTTTCCATTTTTACCCCAGCCAAATTTTGCTGAAATATTTCAGTGACATTTATTGCTTCAGGAAGATTCTGTTGGGATGCTTTTTCCCTAGTAAATACAATTTCTAGTTTAAAAATCTAACTGTATCTTTGCTCTCTCAATAGGAGAATTCAATCAGTATCCACCACCAATGCTTGAGAAAGCCTGTGGTCTCATTAGGGCAGAAGAAGCTCATAATCTCCTGTGAGTTAGACGGCTCTGATGTTTACAGGTGTCTGTTAATTGAATGATGGGCATCTAACCGGCTGATGGCAGGTCACTAAACTGAGGAAGCTAATCCAGTCTCTGAAGTAAAGACTTCTTGTGTATTCCATTTTATGTAGCCAAGACACATGTCAAGCACGCTTTCTGGATTGATGCTTTTATAACAGTCTCACGAACCTTATTACAATTTGCTTTTAAATACACGGTTTCTTCAGAAACTCCCCCACTGAAATTGACCTCAGAATAGAACCCATAGTTTAGCCTTACATCACCCCAGCCTCACTTCCCACCTCTCCTCTGCCCTGGACTCTTTCTGCCTCCTGAGAACTGTTGTTTTGCCCTGGCCTCTGGTCGCACTGCCAGGGACCCTGAACCTACCCACTGCCCGAGGCCTTGCTTGAAGCTGTGTCCTCCCTGGAGCCCACCTTCACTCTCAGCCAAAGCCCACAGCTCCTGTTTCTCAGCACCTTCTGCCTCTGCTGAGGTGCTTGTTCAAGTTCGTCCCCATGTCTGGTCTCACGTCTGTGGCTGCATGTGATTCCTTGTTTCATCCACAAAATGTAACATAAAAGACCCCACAGTTTACTTATATTTGTAAATACATTTTCTCAAAACCGTACCCCAAGCAAAAACATAAATTAATCAATTGGAATGCATCTCGAGCCTCAGACAGAAGGGGAGTGGCCTATCGGTTGCTCTCAGCTTCCCTCTGTACTTCGTGAGCTAGACACCATTTTAAGAGGCATCATGTCAAGATATGCTTTATATAATCTTATTCTTCTCAGAACAGTACTTGACAAATTAAAGACTGTTTTCTATATTTTTATGCTGATTAATCCCAATCTGAGACACATCATTTGGCTGTTCCAAAAACATATTTTTTGTCATTTACCTAAAACTCTGTAGCAAATCAGACTTGGTTTATTCCCCAGTAGTATTTCACAGGCTATAAGCAGATAGGGGGAAAGGAAAGATAAATGGAATTATTTTTATTTATCAGTTTATAACTTTTTAATAAGTATAACAAATCTTAATGAATTTTATGATTGTAATGAATTTAGGTTTTTACTACCAAGAGATAATTAAACAACTATTTTAAATTCTTGGGATATTTTATCTGCATTCCCTAAAGTTATCCAGGTTCACTTTTAAAGTTTCTTTTTTATTTTCTAGGTTTACTTCTGAGCTGCATGAGATTTCTTCAGGAGAGAACAGCTTCACTAACCAGGAATTAAGTGCCGGGAGAGACTCACCTTTTGTGCTGGAGGACAGTGGAGGCGACCATTTGGTCTACATTCCGAGCTAAAAGCTGATGCTATAGGAGTTAGCGAGTAAATATGAAAAGGATAAGGATTCTGAAGAAATTGCAAGTCTTACTTCTGGTAAGGAAATGAAAAGTTACAATGGACATTTAAAGATAACTGGGTCCTCATCTTTTAACACTAGTACAGAATCAAATACATTAAGGCTGGTGTCTGTAGCAGCTTTTCTTAAGTTCAAAATGGTAGTGGCAGCTACTGCTTTTCATAGAAAGTGAAGGTTTAAATGGTGACAGGTACCCTGAGGAGATCACTGACAGAAGCGTGAAGTAGTGTCCCTGATACTCCCACCAAACCATATTGCTCTGGACGCCACACCTAGAAGGTTAGTGTGATGGAGAAAGGGCAAGATAGAGCACATCACAGCAAAGGGGGAATTAAAGCGACAAGGAGTTGGCTGGGCCAGTGCCCCAGAATTTGTGATCGCATGAGAGGGAAATGATTAAGCATAAACTCCTTCACTTCCTCCACTGTACATTTGAATAGCAAAATAGTAACACCTTTTGTCAAGATTTAATAGTTTCAAATAAACCAAATATATAGGATTTTTGTGTGTATTTTCATTGAAAAGGGTGACATTATAAACAAACTATTCAGCCTTTCCATCCATGCATCTAGAACCTTCCAAGATGCTCATCTGGCCAGAATGCTGGTTTTTAAAACATGCCATAAGTATCATGTGTATTGTTAGAATATGCAAGTTTAAAAGAAAAGGGAGACAATTTTTGTCAATCCTTCATAAGAAAGAATAAAATTCATTCTTAGTAGCTTCCTTGTATAAATAAATTTTCTTTTCCTTGGGCTCAACACTCATGGTTCCACATTGTCCTCCTGTTGCTGAAATTTAAATAAAGAACTTTATCTTTAAAATAGCTGAACCTCCCTTTTCAAAGCTAAGAATAAAACAGTCAATGATTACTTGAAAAATAAGGCTTAAAAAAGAGTTAATTCAGTAAAAATGGATATATGTAGTACCATTGTATTATTTTTCAATTAAAACAATTTTTGTTGTCATGACATAAGTTAAACAAGGAAATAAATATTTGTTTTTTTATTGGATGTAGTTAATTTTGGGCATTCATTTTAATAATATGGGAATTATAGCAGTCCTCAAGGCACAATAATTTATTATGATTTGGTTTAAAAAGAAGAAAAAGAAAGAGAAGTTGTTTTGGCAGTATATTGCATTTGAGAATACAAAACTGTTACTTGTGATAGTTTTGTTAGAGATAAGCTTTCTAAAGTCTAATAATTCAGAAATGTGCACTTTTTCAAGAAAGACAGATATGACTGTATATTTAAGAAAGAAAAAAAGAAACTCATCTTTGCAGTGCTTTTTAATGATTTTTGTTCAGTAATAATAGAAAGACTCTCATTTGCTTTTCCAGATGTGTGGGAATCAAGATACTTGTAGCCAGTGTAAGGTCCAATTTGGCTGAAGAAATAATTGTGCATGGTTGTAGGAGGAAAAAATGTAAATTGTCCATTACCCCCATTCACCCAATTTATCCTGCAGTGGGCTGAAATGTCCTGAGAACTCTGGGAAGGATTATGTCAGGTTATGATAGCCTGAAAATTGTGAGAGTATCAAGCTAAGGAAAATATGTATTTTTTTATCCTTTAGAATACATCTGGGTCTCAGAACATAAGTGTTGTCTAGAGACTTTGTGCTGTTCCTTTCTCTACCTCTTTTTTTTAGTATCATCCTTAGCCAGTTGCCAAAACCTGCTGAGAACTTTCTGTATAATGTGCTGTCCTTTGGGTAAGTAAATTGTCGTTCAGATATTTCATTCAGTTGCTAAGAGATGAGCTTTGATTAGTTCCAGATGTATTGCACAAATAAAGGGTTGATAACTTTCATAAGTATCTCCATGTGCTATGCTTGTTCCTCATTTATGAAGTGATGCTTATGGCTGATCTTTCTGCCCTTGAACTGAATCTTGGGGGAAAGTTAGAAATCTTAACCATTAGGAATAACAGGAGATGTATAGCATTACATATAACCATTCTTAACAAGAAATGTACAGCGTTCCCGGAGTCCTGTGTGTGGCGAGAAGCTGTGACCACCCCCTTTAATGGGAGGCGCAGTCACTCTCTACCTATGCCTCTCTCAGCTCCTTCCTCTCACCTTGATTTCCAAGTTCATCTCCATTTCCATCACTTTTCCTGGCCCTCTTCACTCCTTCAAGCAGTTCAAGGGCAGTCTATGTCAGGATCACCTGCAAGTCCATAAGCACAGATCCTAAACCTTCCTCAGAATTACTGCTTTGTATCTAGGGGTGTGAGTGGTGAGGAAAAACCACCCTTGGTGAGTTCTGTGTGTCCTCAAGTTTGAGATCTGCTGTCCAGGTGATTCTAAAGTGTGGTTCCTAACCAGGGGCACCAGCATTACCTGGGAATGTGTTAGGAGTGCGGGTTCTTGGTGCTCATCCCAGACCTACTGAGCCAGACCCTCGGGGAGGGGGCTCAGCAGGCTGAGTCTTGGCGAGCAGCACAGGTGATCTGGGGCACTGCCCTCCTGCCACATCTGCTGTGTGTTCTCAGTGGAGCTGAAAGCAGTTAGGTAGCTGTGTCACCGAACAGAAGTGAGTTCCTGTTCCAAAGAGTTCCAGGGGAACTGGGTTAAAATCTTACTTTTTTCATCGAAGATCACTGAACATCCATTCATCCATCCATCCAACATCTACCTAATGAAACACTTTCTAAGATCCAAACATATAGAGGTTTATTTAGAGATTCTGTCATGCATTTTGACTGCAACATCTGCAATATAAAAATTCCTTGGAAAATTCAGTCCCTCCTAATTACTCACCAGTGGAAGATGGAATTAAATAACAAAAAATGGATGGTTTAATTCTAATTAAATTGCAACTGTTGAACCTAGTGGCAATTCTAGCACTTTCATCAAAGATGCTTTGTTAACCAAGTATTTAAGATATAGTCAGTATTAAGATTAAAGAAAGACAGGATAATTTATAATGAATGTAAAGTAACAATCCAAACTCAGCCTGGGGGTGCCTCAAAGCTTTAGGCCACTGCAGGCTTTAGAGTAACTTCAGTTGATGTTCTTTACAATGAATTTCATTGAGAAATGAGAAGCAACACTTCCCCCTTCAAACTAGGCTGGAGTTGTGCTCAAGGGAATTTGAATGGGGTTTGTTTAACATAGTCTATTTTTCTCACTTTAATCTGAATCTGATCTATAAATCAGCTTTTTTTAAGTCAATATGTCTTTTGACTTTGAATCAGTCACAGGGTATTAGAACTGGAAGCTATCTAGTGATCGCTTCTTGCAAATTAACCGGGGAAGGGGCACATCCA